TCACATCTTGCATACATGAACTGCATATTTCATTAAGATATCCATATATGGCATTCGTCACATCTTGCATACATGAACTGCATATTTCATTAAAATGTCCATTTATGGCATTTGTCACATTTGCATACATGATCTGCATAATTCATTAGGATATCCATATATGGCATTTGTCACATCTTGCATACATGAACTGCATATTTCATTAAAATGTCCATTTATGGAATTTGTCACATGTTGCATACATGATCTGCATAATTCATTAGGATATCCATATATGCCACTCGTCACATCTTGCATACATGAACTACACAAGTCATTAAGATATCCATATATGGCCTGTTTTACTTGTGATTAGGCAATTACAATAATATACAGAGGAGTAACTAAAAACAATGATTTCAGCCTTGAAGGCACGATTGCTGCCCTGTCTGAAAATGAAACACTCCATTACATTTCTATTTCCATAGTGTTTTTAACTTGTCAAATTGTAGTGCCACTTGTTTCCTTAAAAACATCAAACCTTTGAAGAAAATCTATAATTATTGAGGTAAATATCAAGAAATTTCAGAAAATTGAGGGCATTCAAAGATTTAAATGCATGTCTAAAATGCATTAAGACTCCCTAGCCTGATTAAAAATCACTAACCAAGCCTTATTGAAAGTCAATGACTCCCTAGCTTGACTGAAAGTCACTGACTACCTAGCATGATTAAAAGTGACTTCCGAGCCCAGATTAAAGGACATTGACCCCCTAGCCTGGTTGCATACTGTTTCATTGGTTACCCCCCTCACCATTAGTATGAACACAATCCTACAGCAACACTCATTGGCAGATAAATGTAGCACACATGCTGTTAAACAATGGAAGAGTTATACATTTTGCCAATGCACTATATAAACCCCATTCTTCATGATTAGTAAAGAAATTACATGAGCAAAATAATAGCAGTAAGCCAAGACTTTAGTGGAAAGGGGGAATCAGTGAAACAGTCATCTGGCGTTGGGACTATTGGCTTCTTGTCTAAAAAACTACTACATAATTTCACGATTATAACCAACTGCGAAAATTGACCTTATTCACAATTAGCAAGCAAGATCTACTTGAGTAAGTGAGTCATGTCATTTATTTTTGCTCGCCAAATATTTTGTTCGTTGCCACCATCTTGTCCACTTCCAAATACCATGGTTATGTAGGTCAGGGGACCAGTGAACGCTTGGCATAGTCACTAACTTGCAACAAGATCTAAGCGACAAACTTGTTGCTATTTCCGTTCTTACTTAATTAGTTTATGAACGAGATCTAAGCAGCAACTTGTAAGTAAGGTCTATTGAAATAGAAGTGTATAAGAACAAAATTATGTGACTATATACTAGAAGTGGCAATACATTATGTTTTTTTCACTACAAAACCAGTACAACTAATAATGGAATGTCATTTTACAACAACAGATGGAGGTAAAGCAATGGCCAGTGTTTCAGTCAGATGAGTTTCAGGCACATTTGACATACAAATTAGTAATACCCCATAAGTCATTGGTTATGATGCTCCACGTTTTGCTTAATAAGGCACAGATAAAATAATATTTGAGTTTCTGGAAATCATCTGCGGATGTTAGAAATGTGCAAATCATAGCCTTTTTTAATTATTTTTGACAGAATTTTCGAAAAGAAATAAAAGAAAAAAGAAAAATTCAATTTTCATGACAAATAAAAATTTCAAAATGAATACAAGAAAAAATGAGTAGGCACATCAATTTGAAAACAGACCAGAAACATCTTTTACTTGGCCCATTTGCAACATTTCAAAGTAAAATATTACAAAGTTGGTATAATATAATGGACAAATATAATCATTAAATATTGGCTCTTATTATTATGAGTTCTTAATTAGTATTAGTACACTGGAGTCAACAACCATGGAGTACATTTGAATCAACAACGATGGTGTACACAGGAGTCAACAACATTGATTATACTTATACCATTTTAATTTGAAATCAGTCTCACTCAGATTCATGTGTTGATTAATTCGCCAAATTTTGGATGTTGCATACAATGCGAAACTGCTGTTTGATTCTCTAATAGTTTGTGTATTTCCACAAACAGGAAAGTAAATCATAGGTCAGAGTGTGCCCAGGTCTAATCAAGCTGGCTGAAACACTGATGAACAGTTCTAAAAGTTAACTAAAAAATAAGACACTATAAAAGCCTTGGGCAGTTAGTACATAAACTTTAGAGATTTAAACACAGATAAAAACAATTCTTTTTAAGTATTGGAACACAGATTAATAACAAGTTTATAATATATACATAGTATAAATGTTTTCTGAATGCTATACTAAATGTTTTATATTTTCATACTTTTTATAATATTTTCTGAAGCGTATGAATAAACTAAACTATGAGTAATCATAAAAATCATTCCAGCAGAGAAAAAAATAAAATCTGAGAATATTTTAACTACTGTATAATTTTAATGTTATTTTAGAAAAACAAGTCTTGTATCTGGCCGAGATGAGTGTGCATAAAGAGGATAACATACAATGTGCAAGAGGTAGCAGTGGTACAAGCCAATTTAAAAATTGTTGACAATCAAACACCACCTAACATTAATACCGAGTAAAGGCAAGACAAGTTAGGCATAATCACTGATGCTAACATGCAAAGTTAGGCATTATAACTGTTGCTAATAGGCAAAGTTAGGTAGAATAACTGTCATTTATTGATCAGATTTAGCAGATTCACTTCTATAATGGATACTGCCTATAGGTATGAACAAATTTAAGCAGGACAACTGCTTCAACTTGAAAATTTAGATAAGATCACAAATTTTTTAAAGGAAATGATACTGTAGACAATTTATATAAAACTATGAATTGATATGCTGCATCAAACATGTACACAAAAACATTTTGTAACCATCTTGGATCGATATAATGTAGTCATTGTAGATTTGAACATCAAAGCAACCCATCTTGGATAGAGACCATTTTAAATGGAAACTTAAGCAGCTCATCTTGGATGGAAACCCCCATAACAGCCATCTTGTATAGTAAACCCAAAGGCAGCCACCTTGGATGGAAGACCTAGGGCAGCCATCTTGGATGGAAGTCCTAACAACATATCTCTAAATTGATAACGAAGAATGATATTCCTTAAAAAATGTTGGATTATGGGAATAATATCAATATGCATTTTACAGGATAAAAAAACTTCAATGTTTAGTTTGTTAATACATTGCAGGCCACCAATAAAGTTAATGTTGACTTAACACTATCAAGAATATACTAATATACGAAATTCTAAATTTACTTTTAGTAAAATGAATACTTTTAAAAACAAAAATATTTTACATGGATTTGGTTCTCATTAGTGACTGATCTCAGTTATTAATTAACAACTCCAAAATGTAACATTTTGTTTAAAGTGCCACTAATAGATAAACAGTAGTGCATTTTTACGTTGCAAATTGTCCGTCACGACATTCAGAAGCTGATTTTCAAACCAGCAAAAACATACACCCCTAATCATGTATATTTTTAACAGAGTAATCTGAAATTATTAAAGGCTAATCTTTAAAAGCTCAACGCTAATACAAGTGCACATGCACTAAAATTATCATTTCATGTTAACTTCATTTTGACCATATATTCAATTTCTTTTTTGTTCATGTGCTACCAATATAAAATACCACATTACACTTACACAATGAGTAAAGTGGAATTAATGAAAACAAAAAGAAAAGAAGACATGTAAACATCAAAACAAACCAAAACTATAACCATGGAACAAAATTGGGTCAGGTTAATTTGTTTTTGTTTTTGATGTTTTCATGACTACTTTCCAAGGTTTTCATTTTCAACTCTATGTATATGGTGGTTTAACATTTTCTCTGCCATAAATTTGTTCTGTATTTTTTTTCTTTAATTTTGTGGACATAATTTTTTGTTGCATACAGACAGGTATCGATCTAAATTCTGGTGAAAAAATGTTGAGTTTAGCACAAAAATAATAGCTGATATTATACAAGCAACATTTTGCATTCAATGAATATTATAGCTGACAAAAAACAAGGATATCTACTTAGTATTTTAGTACACATATTACCGGTACATGAAAATTATGATAATTGAGACTATGTACGTAACATGGTTCAAACTAATTACTGAGATTCTACTAAAATAAGCTTGTAAAATTGACATGCTTTAGGACATATATGAAAATAAGAGGTATTTAGGAATAATATCACTCATCATGATGTCAAAAGCATCGATTCCTAGCCAAATTATAACCCTGCCTCAATATCATAGTTGCATTATATACCTGAAACAGATAGCTGATCTATAGTAAGACCTAGCTCTAACAGACTCAATGTTTACAAGTCAGTGTCTGTGCAATAGTTAAAATGAACAGAAAGCATAAATCGCTACTAAGATTGAAAGAAAATAGTTCGTTTTTTTTACCATTCTTCTCGGATAAAGCTTCACCCCTATATGCTGATTCCATTTTGGTGGTGTGGGAGATGGGCAATATATTC